AAAAAAAAAAAAAAAAAAAAAAAAAAAAAAAAAAAAAAAAAAAAAAAAAAAAATCGAAATGAAGAACGATGAAATATTACTGTGAAGAAGAAGAAAATTACTAACGAATTATCCCGGAATCTGAATCCAAGCATTCCAAATTATCAATTTCCCTTCTGTTATAACTTCAGATAAGCTGCAAGAATTCCAGAAAACAAATTTCGGTTTTGAACCTTCAAAATTCCAAATCGAATCAGCCAAATCGAAATCGAAATCGAAAAATTCATCAGCACGAATTCAACTCAGATCAGATAATTTCACAATTCAATTGCAGATTTCCACATCCCTTCAACATCGATTTCAACAACTAAGAGGAGGAAGATCAGAGGATTTACCAGAAGCCGCGCCTGAATTCTTGAAAAATCTACTCCCAAAGAAGAAGAATCCGAGGCAATGACCACCGATTGCTACCAAAAACACTCCAACATTGAACGACATAACCGCAAGCATCACTAAATACGCCAATCCAACCCTAACCGTATGCATCAGAGTCCGGATCAATCCAGCCGCTACGGAGCTAGAATCTTCCCTAATCAATCGGCTATGCGAAAGCCACTCGACGAGGAAAGCAAGCACGAATATGAAGATCAAGGCCAAGGCGTACATACCGGATCGGTCTCCAGGCCAGTTACGGAACAGAATCTCAGCGTTAGTTCCCCAAAAGAAGGTCATGTGCATCATCCGGTGATGCATCGTCATCCCCGACGACGCGGCGGAAGAGGCCGGCGGCGGCGCCATACCTTGCATATGGTGGTGGTGAGTCTCGTCAGTAGCGTCCATGGCGACTCCGGTGACTGAAAATCGTGTGTGGTACCAACGAGTCCGCTTGGTTTCAGATAACTGATAAGAACGCAGTCTCTTTCAGGATTTAATCAAAACCCATTCGCACACTCGTTGCGATTTGTATGAGCAGAAGCCCTCATTCAGTGTAGTGGCGGTCTATCAGTATCCATATGTACCTATTTGTATTTATTTACGTATTTTTCAAAAATCATTATTTTATATAAATAATGTATTTAATCTTTTAAAATTTAGATCCAGTTTTTTAAATTTGAAAACATTTTTATTTTTTAAATAATTATGTTTTTCATTCAAACTTTTGTTTTTAAATCAAATCTGAACGAGATAATTTAGGGAAAACGTTAATTTCTTATCAAATTAATATTATAATTCATTTTATAATTGTTACAGATGATTTAATCTAAATCCTTCGTGTCAAAACATGTGAGTAAGGATATCCTTTTATATTATGAATTTATATAAGATTTACCTGCAAAATTTTTAATTAATATTTTTTCAAAATAATCTTATGCGACTCGATTTTAATCTTCAGTGAGTTATGAACTCACGTGGGAATTCATCTTTTGAGATGCATAGATGAGAATGACTTTTGTGATTCAATATGTCCGTTGTTTAAGAACTAAACCAAATATGAAGCTGAAAACATAATCGTACAAGATGAAAAAGGGCAATTAGATGAATAGTCCTCTTAAATGTTGATTTTAGGATCGAAACAATGAGGCTCCACTCTATCACGAGACTGAGAAGAACTTAATTTATCCGAGTTATATCATAAATAAATTGTTCATTAAATAATGAGTAATATTAAAGGTAAAAAATAGAATTATAGGAGCAAAACAATTTTTTTTTTTAATTTATTGTAATATTAATTTAAACAATTAGTAAACGATTCAATTGTATATATTATTTATATTTATGGACATAATTGATCTCCAATTAATTAATTAAATAGTTTAATTAATTAATTTTATGATATTTTAGAGTTTAGGTCAAGGGTCTAATGTTAGCAAATTTGATTTTCTTTTAAAATTTTAAAATTTTAAAATTATATATTATAATGCATACAAAAGAATTTAAATTAATATTTTAAAGAGATTTTTTTTTTAATTTTTATATTTGATACATTAAATATTTAAATTTTAAATGAGATTTAAATTAATTAACTATACAAGATAAATACTTAGACTTAAAAAAAATTCTATAAAAGGATAAATAAAAATATCCTTAAATTTTATTAGACTTATAAAAATTCTAAAAAAATGTTTTCTTTTCAAAAATTTCATTAAACTTTTTAAAAAAATATTAAAGATATCATTAAATTTTTTTAAAAACTTCGAAAATACCTTTTAATTTTATTTAAAAAATTAAAGATATACTCATAAATTTTCAAAAGTGACTGTTAAAAAGTTTTGAGATAATCAATGAAGTGTCGGTTAAAGTTACTTTTCGAATTTTATAGGTATTTTTTAAATATAGTATTAAAGACATTATCTTTTTTAATCTTTTTAAAGAGTTTGAAGGATATTAATGAAACTTCTTAAATTGAAGGGTAATTTAGAAACAGTCTGAGGTCACTGCTAGTAGATGTTGTCCTCTAAGACCCGTTACGTATCGTCGTCAACCTCACGGTTTTAAAACACGTCTACTAGGAAGAGGCTTCCACACCCTTACAAGAGTACTTCGTTACCCTCTCCCTAGTAGACGTGTTTTAAAACGGTGAGACTAACGACGATACATAACGGGCCAAAACAGACAATATCTGTTAGCGATGAGCTTAGACTGTTACAAATGGTATCAGAGATAAATACTGGGTGGTGTGTCAGCAGGGACACTAGACCCCAAAAGGGTGGATTGCGAGATCTCACATCGGTTGGAGAGGGGAACGAAACATTTCTTATAAGGGTATAGATACCTCTCTCTTAAGGAAAAGCACAAAGAGGATAATATCGGCTAGCGGTGGGCTTGAACTATTACACGTAGACACCCGAGAGATCTCCAAGAAAACTAGATTATTGTTTGTAAAGTAAGCACTTATAGTTCTTAATTGTACTACTAGTGTTTTTTTTTATGGTACTACATGTTGCAATTTTGGATTTAGTGTGTACTACACATAAAAATAAAACACACGTGGTTAATAAGTCACCACTAAGTAGTGTTCATTCTTTGGAAACTAATCACTCCGAATTCAAATTCACCACTAACGACATTTGTGAATTAAACCATATACTATAAATTAAGGCAAATTAATAAAAATAACTTTTCACTTTTATTTTATCTATAAAAAAAAATCCATAAACTTTCAATTCTTAATAATATATTTAATTTGTAAGTAAAAAAAAATAAGTTTTTTTTTTAATACTTTTACGGTCAGGTACTAAGTACTTTTAAAAGTAATATTAAAAAATTTAAAGATAATAAGTGGGATAAACAGTTTTTATCCATATATTGACAGTAATAATTTATTTTTATGGTCTGGTACAGTGTTTCATAATTATTTATAAACATTTAATAATATTAAAAAATTTAAAGATGTCCATATATTGACAGTAATAATTTATTTTTAATTTTAGATTCATGCGTAAAGCTCCATTTGAAAAGTGTATATTGACGGTAATAATTTATTTTTATTTTTAGATTCATGCGTAAACGAAGCTCCATTTGAAATGTGTATATTGACAGTAATAATTTATTTTTATTTTTAGATTCATGCAAGCTCCATTTAAAATGTGTACACGTATATTACTTAGTAAGATGAACATAAAGTATCTTTCATGATATCTAGCCGATGTAGAGTTGGTATTCCCTGACTCCACAATGATATGATATAAGAAGAACATAAAATATCTTTTATGATATCTAGCCGATGTGCAGTTAGTATTCCCCGACTCTCCACAATGATATTTTTATGATATCTAGCCGATGTGCAGTTAGTATTCCCCGACTCTCCACAATGATATGATATTGTTCACTTTGAGCATAATCTCTCGTGATTATTTCTCATGGCTTTGATTTGGGCTTCCCCAAAAAGCTTCGTACCAATAGAGTTAGTATTACTCTTTTATAAACGCATGATCATTCCTTAAATTAGCTGAGATGGGACTTTCATCATCCGACACTACACAAAATCTAGAAATAGTAAATTAGAAAAATACTACATAAATTCAAATCTACTAACAATTTACTGTAATCTTTGAATATTTTAAATCATATCTCATCTACTTTGAATAATACTTTTAATATTTCAACTACTTTTAATCGTATCTTAACCGACCAGTTGAAATTATGGAGGGTTAGAAACTCAAAGTTTGTCTTTTTCTTATCATATCTCGAGGTTTGGTCCAAAGTTCATCCAAATTTTGATCTATTAAGACTATCGAGACTTGAAAATCTAAATTCTCATCTCTACAATGTTATGACTGAGTATAAGCTCTCATCCCTCTGCTCTATGCTTTCTCAAGAGGTTTTGGATTATAAATTCATGATTTTTTCCTAAATTAGCGGAGTGATTCATCCACAAATTATTATTATTATTATTATTTAATAAAAATTTAATGGAATCAAATTTGGAAATTGAATAATAAAAATAAACTTTAGTACGAGCTAACTTGTAGTACACTCGCGAGCTTAGCTGGTAGTACAATACAGCTTCATTATTTGATTGGCTTCCGAGAAAATGAAGGAAAAACAAAGATCCATTTTCCCAAGAAAAAATGGAATTCCACATGACATTTTTCTGGGGAAAGTCGGCGGAGATTCTGTTCGCCGGCTGGCCTGGCCGGAACTCACTCTCTTACGCCATCGCCTTAGTCTTCGTCTTTCTCGTAGCCTTCGCCGTGGAGTGGCTGTCGCACACTAAACTCACCGCCTCTGTCGCCGATGACGTCTTCGCCGGCTTTGTTCAGACCGCCCTGTACGGCGTCCGGGTGGGGTTGGCTTTTGTCGTCATGCTGGCCGTCATGTCATTCAATGTCGGAGTCCTGCTTGCGGCGGTGGCCGGGTATTCGGTCGGGTTCTTGGTTTATGGGAGCCGGGTTTTTAATAGATCCAAAATTGACCTAAATTTGAATATGTCTGATATACCACCGCTTAATTGTTAATAGAGTGGAAGTTTGGAATCATAATATACATATATATTTGCCTATTTGAATTTTTGTATATTAATTTCATATATTAGGGGTATCGAGATAATATATCCAACCATAAATTTCTTCCTCGGGCCGAACAGTTCTCGTGGCATTGATTAACGTTGTTACTTAAAAATAATTGTTTTGTAATTATGCTCGAGATATCCACTAAATCTCTTCATAAGTTTTATTGATGATTATGGCAGTAAGTTGTGGATATATTTCTAGCGTACTATCTTCAAGAATTATAAAAATCTTGTTCAAAAAGAAATTGAAGATTTTCTCTCGATTGAGAGGCGTGGAGAGTCACTTCTCACGAGAGCAACTTACCATATCACAAAATGGAGTAATTGAGTGTGAAGACAGAACAATCATATACATGGTTAGAAAATATCTAGCCAGAAGCTGTAAATGGGACCACCCATGTGCTCGACAGAAATACTACAGTGATAATTGATAGTATAAAATCTAATGTTGATTATTTACTTTCAAATAACAAGCGAAATAAATTAGATGATAAAATGTTTTGGTGCGTGCGGTTAGCGATGGTAAAAAGTCTAAAATATATAGACTCTATGATCTAATGTCCTAGAAGATAGTTATATATATCTATATATATATATATATATATATTAATTTTCAAAAAGTGAGACACGACAAAGAAATACTTCTCTGACACATTTTAGTTTCACATGCACTCAATAGTGAATTTCATATGAGCACGTGTTTTTAAATGTAGTTCTCCTGAGTACAATTTTAAATTCAAAATTAAATATTTCGAAAATATATTTTTTTTCAGAAATTCCACAGTCTGAAAACAATTTTAAAAAATTAATCTTAAATCATAAAATAAAATTGATAATTACCCTAATAATAAAAATAAAAAAAGTTTGTGACCATATAATAAAAAATTCCATCACATATATATAATTTAATAAACAATAGATATGAGTGAGTTCAAATCACGATAGAATTCGTATTATTATTTTATTTAGAATAAGAACAAAAATGATGACTAGACTGATAAAAAACATGTTCTATATGGAGGTGATTTAAACCTGCAGTCTGTAATACCTAAACGACCACTAGTTATAATTTTCTTTTCCTAAATATGCAGATTTCAGATAGTTATCCAATTTATTTTTATTTTTTTAGGAGATCTATCACTTGAGCAACTTTAACTTACCAACAAAACACAATTATTATTGAGCTAAATAACCGAATCGTGGTTTAGAACGATTATGTGTCTATCAAAATCTTAATCAAAGCAGGTATTAAGCTTAAATTTCAGAGATGAAAAATATATTTTATTCAAAAAATTTAAATACGAACACGTGGGCATATTTGAACAACATGAAACACGTGCAAAAAAACCAACTAGTTTCGTTAGTTTATAACTACGAACCTACCGTTCGGTCATTCTCCATCAAATTATGGAGAGCTCAGGGGGTGAAACGACGCCGTTTACTGATGGTGCCATGTCCATACCAAGGCCACATAAACCCAATGCTTCACCTAGCCACATTCCTTCACCTAAACGCGGCTTCTCAATAACCCATAGCCCACCCCCCACCCCTATCGTCACCCGGAGTTCACCTTCCTCCCCCTCAACGACGGCATCACCGACGACCACGTGTCCTCATGGGATCTAGCGTCAGTCTTGCTAGCCATCAATGAGAATTGCAAGGGGAGCTTGGAGGAGGCAATGGCGGCTATGACGGGAGGAGATGGGGAGGAATCAAGTGAGGTCGTGTGTATAATACACGATGAGCTTATGTATTATTGTGAAGGTGTAGCCAGCCGTTTTGGGGTTAGGAAGAGTTTGGTGTGGCGGACCCACAAGCACCGGTACTTGCGTCAGCCGGTGTGCGGTGCTGCACCTTCACGCCGCCGGGTTTGAGGAGGAGATACCGGCGGAGCTTCATCCCTTGAGATTTGAAGGACTAAAAAAACCCCACTTCCGGCGACTTCAGATTTCACCAAGTTCCAGGAGCTAGTTATGTACACACTATAAGCACAACCACAGCTAAAGGTGTAATAATTTGGAACACCATGCCCCCTGGTTCGAACCCGCGCAACTGACCCTAATCAATGCCAAATTTTGGGGAGTCCCCATTTTGCCAATTGCGCCAATCCAAAAGATAGTCCTAACTTCATCCAACTTAACCTTGTTCAAAGAAAACACCACAAGCTCCCAATTCAGTCATCTATGTTAGCTTGGGAAGCATGGCTATATTGATTGACAAAGCGAGAAGTGGAAGAGATGGGTTGGGGGTTGGTTAATAGCAACCAGCCGTTCTTGTGGGTGGTTCGGCCCCGGTTGGTTCGTGGGTCGGATGGGATCGAGGTTGTTTTAAAAGAGGTTCGAGAGAAGGTTGGAGATAGAGGGTGCATTGTGCAATGGGCTCCTCAAAGGGAAGTGTTGGGGGGGTTTTTTGAGCCATTATGGGGGGAATTCTACGGTTGAGAGCTTGAGTGAGGGTGTTCCTATGGTGTGTTGGCCGGATTTTGGGGACCAACGAGTGAATGCTAGGTATGTTAGCTGTGTGTGGCGGGTGGGGTTGCGTTTGGAAGGTGAGTTGGGGAGGGAGGGAGTGGGAAAGGGTGTTAGGAGAGTGATGGTGGGGGAAGAAGGGAGGGCAATGAGGGAAAGAGCTATGGATTTCAAAAGGAGAATTGAAGATAGTTTGATGGAAGATGGGTCTTGTTCGTCTAGCTTGAAAGAGCTTGTGGATTTGATTATGTCTTTTATTGATTAAAATAATGAGGTCGGGATCATTTGTGGAATCGAATTATTGTCTTTATGTCATCTCTTTAATGTTCTTTACATATGGTCCACACGTATGTATATGGAATTATTAGGTGTGCTCGTTGACGTACCTTCTAAGTTTGAGTATGGGTTATTGAATGTTCATGTAAGAGCCCAAATTCACTGCTAGATGATATTGTCCTCTTTCTTTTTCGGGTTTTACCTTAAGGTTTTTAAAATACATACCCTTATAAAGAATGCTTGATGTTCGTACTCGTTCCTCTCTTCAATCGATGTGGGGTCTCACAATCTACCCCTTTCGAGGCTCAGCGTCTTCGCTAGCACACCGGGTGAGGGTCTCATAATCCATACCTTTTGGGGCCAGCGTTTTTGTTGGCACACTGCTTGGTGGTGGTCTGATCACAATCTACCCCCTTTTGGAGCTTAGTGTGCTGGCACATCTCCTGGTGGGGGTCTCACAATCCACCCATTTGAAACTCAGTGTCCTTACTGGTACACCGCGTGGTGGGAATCTCATAATCCACCCCTTTTAGAGTCCAGCATCCTCACTGGCATACCACTTGGTGGGGTCTCACAATCTACTCTCTTTGAGGCTCAGTGTCCTCACTGGCACACTGCTTGGTGGGGGTTTCACAATCCACCCCCTTCATACCCTAGCGTCCTCACTAGCATACTACCTAGTGGAGGTTTCACAATCCATCTCTTCAGGGCCCAGGGTCCTCGCGTGCACACCGTCTAGTGTCTTTGCTCTGATACCATTTGTAATAGCACAAGTCTACCTCGAGCAGATACTGTCTTTTGGGATTTTCCAACGTTTTTAAAACACATCTAACAAGGAAATGTTTCCACACCTCTAAAAAGAATGTTTCGTTCTCATCTCTAACTAATGTAAGAAAAAATCTAAATAATATCGTAAGTATACACATTCGTACCCATGATTAATTCAATCCTCCATCCCATTAAATATTATTTGATCAATTGATGGGTGTGCCAATGCAATTTCTTGTCTGATCCTCACGTACTGTCTGTCCATTACTTAACTAAACAACAAAACACAGTACAGAAGCGACGGCCTAATTTAAACCAAACTGTGGCAGCCGGCGGACCACTCATATTCCTCCATTAAACCCAACCCTTTACCTCTTCTTCTTCTTCTTCGTCATCTGAGTAAAAATGGAGAGGCCATGCCCGCCGAAACGGTGCCGTTTACTACTGGTACCATGTCCCTACCAAGGCCACATAAACCCAATGCTTCAACTAGCCACATTCCTTCACCAAAACGGCTTCTCAATAACCATCGCCCACACGTTCTTCAACTCCCTCCACCCTCACCGTCACCCGGAGTTCACGTTCATCCGTTTGAACGACAACCTCCCCTTGGACGACGTGTCGTCCTGGGATTTGGGATCTGTGTTGTTAGCCGTCAACAACAATTGCAGAGCCAGCTTAGAGGAGGCGGTGGCGGCCATGGCCGGAAAGACAGGGGAGGGATCTGGTGAAGTCATGTGTATTATACACGATGAGCTCATGTATTTTTGTGAAGCTGTAGCCAGTCGATTTGGGGTTCGGAGTTTGGTGTTTCGGACCACGAGCGCGGCCGCTTGTGTTAGTCGGTGTGCAATTCTCCGACTTTCGGCCGAGGGTCGGCTCCCCGTGCAAAAAGGTATCAATTTTACTTTTGAAAAATATTTTAAATAATGTGTTAGGATCGCGCAACATCCCACGAACAAATATAACCATCTACTTTATATAAGTATCTATTCTATATGTAATTTTATTATGATTAAACTATAAATAAGCTGCAAGTTCGATAATCGAGATAATTTTGGATGATGAACAGAGTCATTGGAAGAGGAGGTTCCAAATCTTGATCCATTAAGATTCAAAGATTTGCCGCTGTCGGCCGTTTCAGATATCACCAAACTCACTCAAATAATCCTCAACATGTACGCCATTAACACATCTTCAGCTGTGATTTGGAACACAATGCCATGGCTCGAGCCATCTGAACTCAACAAAATCAAGGCCAAATTTTGCCAAATACCCATCTTCCCAATCGCCCCAATTCACAAGATTTCCCCAACCTCCTCCTCTTCAAGCTTGCTCAAAGAGGACTCCACCTGCCTCTCATGGCTCGACAAACAAGCTCCCAAATCAGTCATCTATGTCAGCTTGGGAAGCGTAGCCTTGTTAACAAAGGGAGAGGTGGAAGAGATGGGTTGGGGGTTGGTGAATAGCAACCAGCCATTCTTGTGGGTGGTTCGACCAGGGTCGGTTCGTGGGTCGGATGCGATCGAGCTAGTTTTAAAAGAGGTTGAAGAGAAGGTTGGAGATAGAGGGTGCATTGTGCAATGGGCTCCTCAAAAGGAAGTGTTGGGTCATGGAGGTGTTGGTGGGTTTTGGAGCCATTGTGGGTGGAATTCTACGCTTGAGAGCTTGAGTGAGGGTGTTCCATTGCTGTGTAGGCCATTTTCAGGGGATCAAAGAGTGAATGCTAGGTATGTTAGCTGTGTGTGGGGAGTGGGGTTGGCTTTGGAAGGTGAGTTGGATAGGAAGGAAGTGGAAAAGGGTATTAGAAGAGTGATGGTGGAAGAAGAAGGGAGGAAGATGAAGGAAAGAGCTATGGATTTCAAGAGAAGAATTGAAGATAGTTTGAAGGAAGATGGGTCTTCTTCTTGCAGCTTGAAACAGCTCGTGGATTTCATCATGCGCGTTACTTTCCCTCCATAGCATCCAGTGGCATCATGAATACACTAGTTAAAAGGCAGGTTCAGAGGTACGTATACCCACTTAATGGGTCCATGCGAGCATGCGTGGGTCATTGGTAGAGAAGTACTAAACATTCAATTTTCGTATGGATTAAAGAGTAGAGTTCAGGGTCTTGAAATATTTTTACGAAAGGATAGGTTTCATCATGATTGCTCGTGTATGCATTTTTCGACCCTAATAATGGAATACTTAATAAGTACTTCTTAAAATACTAAGCCATAAGGATGAAGATGGAGCTGATATCTATATATTCCGAGAAAAGAATAAAAAAAAAATTAGTATTTAAAAAATTTCAAATAAAATGTTAATTAAAAATTATATATATACAACGTGATATTATAAGTGAATAATTAGGCGGGAAAGCCAAATATTGAAATAAAATATAAAATTTCCCGACAAACAAATCTGGAAATGCAGAACGCATGTGAATTGAAAATATTACTTTACAATAATTTTTATATTCGCTAAATAATTCTTAGTAGAATTTTAAATGAATAACTATTTAATTTATTATTTTTTAAATTAAGTTTTTAAAATATTTAAAAATAAAAAATTAAAGGGGAGTCGAGTATTTTACCAGATCGTCGTGCTCGATTCCCACAACCTTCGCGTCCTCTTCTTCCCCGAACTATCGCGATGGAGGAACAAACGCAGAGCCCGAAACGACGGCGTCTGGTCCTGGTTCCATGTCCATACCAGGGCCACATAACTCCAATGCTTCAACTCGGCACCTTCCTCCACAACAATGGCGGCTTCTCCATCACAATCGCTCATACTCGCTTCAACTCCCCCGATCCTTCTAACTATCCGTTTTTTCAATTCCTTTATTTAGACGACGGAATTCCAAAGCACGAAGCTATTCCGGCCGATCTGATCGCCGTGCTTTTGGACCTCAACGTTAATTGCAGAGCAAGTTTCGAAGATCAAATGCGCAGATTGATCGGCGGCGGCGGCGGCGGCGGAGGAGCGGGGGAGGAGGTCGTGGCGGGCGTGATTTACGATGAGGTGATGTTCTTCTGTGAAGAAGTTTTGAGTGATTTGAAGGTGAGAAGCTTCATTCTTAGGACTACCTGTGCTGCGGCGTCTCTTGCTCGGATGGCTCTGGTTCGCCTCAACGACGAAGGTTACTTTCCTTTGAAAGGTAAGACGTTGATTTGCTTCAAATTTTATGAATAGAGAAAATAAAATTATTACTATTTAAAAAATATATAAATGAATTTTATAAGTGATTTCTTAAAAAAAAAAAAAAAAAAAATTAGAAAAAGGAAAACTAAATCCACATCACAGAATGTATGTTACAGGATCCAGCGCCGGAGCTGCATCCTCTGAGATTCAAAGATCTGCCAATTTCATTAACAACAGGCTTCACCAAATACCCAACACTGGTTAAAGGAATGTACAATCTGGAAACACCTATCAAAGCCGAAGCCATCATCTGGAACACAATGGAATGGCTGGAAGAATCAACAGTGTCCCAAATCAAAACCAAATCCACCACAGTCCCAGTCTTCTTCATCGGCCCTCTACACAGAATAGTCTCTGCAAGAACCAGTGTTCTCAATGAGGACTTCAACTGCCTGCAATGGCTCGACGAGCAAGCCGACGGCTCGGTCGTTTACGTAGCCATTGGAAGCATAGCTTCATTGGGTGAGAAGGAATTGGGAGAAATGGCATGGGGGCTTGCCAACAGCCAGCAGCCATTCTTGTGGGTGGTTCAACCAGGTGCAGTTCGTGGCTCGGAGTGGATCGAGGCCTTACCAGATGGTTTTCCAGAGGCGGTCGGAGGAAGAGGATGTGTTGTGAAATGGGCACCCCAGAAGGAAGTGTTGGCACATAGAGCTGTGGGGGGATTTTGGAGCCATTGTGGATGGAACTCAAGTATGGAGAGCTTGAGCGAGGGAGTTCCTATGCTGTGCAGTCCATGTTTTGGGGACCAGAAAGTGAATGCAAGGTATTTGAGCCATGTTTGGAGGGTTGGGCTGCAGCTGGAAAATGGGTTGGAGAGAGGAGAGATTGAAAATGGGATTAAAAGACTTATGGATGAAGAACAGGGCAGAGAGATTAGAGACAGAGCCAAGCATTTCAAGGAGAAAATTGAAGCCCATGTCAAGGTAGAAGAAGATCAGTGCTCCTCACGCACTCACTTGAAAGATCTTGTTAGCTTATTGAGCTCATTTTGATCATCCAAGTAAGTTCCTTAGATTTCCAGTTCTTCAATCCTCGGTTCAAGTTCATCAATGTAGAACAGAGGCACCGAATTTCATTGACACTAGTATTTGAACTATTAACATTCTCACATAGCTTAGACAACCAGAAGCATACATTACAATAGAACCACAGAAGCATTTTATCGAACAGGTTGTGAGCAAACTGACTTCCAAAGTTCAAACCAAGAACGCACTACAAATTCACCACAAACAGATTCTTATCCTAAACAGAGCATTCAATTGTACAAAGATGAAGATCTTCATCTACTCGCCGGTGATCTCCACCACTCGAACATCGCGTCTGCTCTGATCGTCTTCTTTAGGAACAAACACAGTGAGAACTCCAAAATCCATAAAGGCACTCAACTCCTCGATCTTCCCGCTCTCCGGAATCTTGAATCTACTCACAAAGCCGCCACTATCGGTGCTGATCTGAAGCATCCGATCATCCTGAAGCTCGACGAGAACGTCTTCTCCTTGGAAGCCCGGAAGGGAGGCTCTCAGAACATGCGCGTTCGGCGTCTCGGTCCAGTCGAGACGAGTGTTGACGGAGCCTCCAAAGGCGAAGTCCGGAAAGGCGTGCGAGATTGAGGAAGGGAAAGGGAAATCGTGCCATAAGTCAAGAGGGAAGGGGAATTTCGGGAAGCGATTGAGGATGCTTGAAGAGGAACCGTTGGAAATACGGCCGTCTTGGCCGCCGATTGGAATGATCGACATCGTTGGCGAGAATGCGCTAGAATTTGATCGGAAGTAGGGTAGAACGGAGTGGAAGGTAATAGGAAGTAATTTAAAGAAGGAAACAGGTGGGTTGATATGGAAACCAAATTCAAGCTTCTAGGACCTTCCAAGATCCCTTGCGGTTTGGATCATGTATGAATGAGCTTAGATAAGGTGCTTTTCGAGAATCATTCAGAGTTCTCGTGGTGAAACACCTAGTCGCTAACGTTCTTTTGGGCTTGGATTTTGAAATTGGATTAGGCCCAAACTCATATTCCAGCAGAACTGTCTGGAAGCCTAGAAGTTTCTTGGATGATTGGAGGCGAAGATTTTCTGGAAGAGAAAATTTCCAGAGAAAACCAGAATGTTCACCAAATCACTATAAATTCTCACCTCTTTCCCAATCTTCGCCAATCAGAAACTTCAAACTAAAGATCCACTAATACTATTCGTTTGCATTCAATCGAAGCGCTTCCAATTCTCGATTACAGTCACCTGTTCAAGTATACCTCAACTCAGAAGATGTCGATGATTCCAAGCTTTTTCGGTGGCCGACGGAGCAACATTTACGATCCATTTGCCACTTTCGATCTCTCAGATCCATTCGATTTTCATTTTCCTTCTTCAATTTTAACTCAGGTTCCTGAAATTTCTCGAGAAACTTCGGCTCTGATGAACACTCGTGTAGACTGGAAGGAGACGCCAGAGGCTCATGTAATGAAAGCCGATCTGCCTGGATTGAAGAAAGAGGAAGTGAAAGTGGAGATTGAAGACGGTAAGGTACTTCAGATCAGCGGCGAAAGGAGCGTAGAGAAAGAGAGCAAGAACGAAACCTGGCATCGGATTGAGCGTAGCTGTGGAAAGTTCCAGAGAAGATTCAGGCTGCCGGTGGACGCAAAAATGGAAGAAATTAGAGCATCCATGGAGAACGGCGTTCTTACTGTGACTGTTCCGAAGGCGGACGAAAAGAAAACGGATGTGAAGTCCGTTGAAATTTCTGGCTGAATGATTGAACATTGGATTTGAATATGAAAATTGTCTTACCGATTTTGAATTTGTAAATTGTCAAAAATTATTTAATAAATAACCAAATTTAGACCATTATCTGAGAAATTTCTTAGTCAAAAAAAAAAATATTAAACATTTATTAGAATATTTTTTAGTTGATGACCTAATTAAATAAATAAATAATTAATTTTAACATAATAATCCTATGAAATTGTTCACTTTTAAGTACGATAGATTTTGCTTACAAATTCATAATCATAATCATTCCTAAAATTAGTTTACAAATTCATAATCATAATCATTCCTAAAATTAGTTGACGTGGGACTTTTATCATCCAACACCTCCTCTCGAACAAAGCACGCCTCCTTTTAATCGAGACTTGACTCTTTTTTTTCTCGACTCCTTTTCTTTTGAAGTCCTTTGTTCGACATTTGAGGATTTAATACCAATCTATTGGCACGACTATGTTTAGGGCATGACTCTGATACTCTATTAGATAAACACAACTCTCCACAACGGTATAATATTGTCCACTTTGAGCACAAGCTTTCATAGCCTTGGTTTGAGCTTCCCAAAAGGTCTCATACTAATGGATAGAGTATTCTTTAATTATAAATCCATGATCATTTCTAAATTAGCTGACGTGTTCACCTATCGGTCTCATTGCTTCTCTCCTTCACCTTTACAGTCGGTAAAAGAGAAAGCCGAAACCTTAAACCTTTTCCTAACTGAACGAACCTTCTTTCACTCTTTCACTCAGTAAGGCTATTTTATGGTCTGGTTTCGTTGCTTTGCTCCTTGGACCAACCAGGTCGCGGATGCCTTAAGCTTAAGTAGGAAGACAGAGCTGGCAACATTTAAATGTGAGGCAGGTTCATGAGTAAGTAGCGAGAGGTGAACAAGAACCAAACAAACACCTATTTACCGAGGGGAAGTATTGGTTGGTACGAGCCATCTATATTATTATTAATAATTTAAAATGTTTCAAGTTTATTAGAGAGAGAAATTAAAGTTTTGGAGATTATTACAATTTAATTAGATAATTTGTTAATTTTTTATTCTATTTTTTTTAATAAGAGTCTAATTTCATATAATTCGAAAAAACAATATTTAAAAACGTTTTTTTTTAAAGTTTTCTAAAAAACATTTTATTATAAATTAATACGTCAGCATTTCTTTGGAGACAAAATCCAATTTATTATTAATATAATTAAAAAATAAAAATACTATCGATTTGCTTGATTCTGCGTTCGATTGATTCCCATGGCCCATCTTCTCAAAACTGCAACAATCTGAGCAGCTCCGCTTTCTTCTCCTCCGGACCTCTATCCTTCTCCCACCTGTTTCACATTTTCTTCTCCAATGGCGTCTCTCTCCTTGTCGTTTGAGAGACGGAGACGGAGACAGAGACAGAGGAGAGTTTCACGGGATTTGGATTCACATTGGATGAAAATCCGCATTGTTTAAATTTTGAAAATATTTCAGAATCATGGCTTTGATTTCGAATTCTTGTTGTTTTTCCTTCTGCTCGAATCACGGTGCTGTGTTCTATATCTTGATTCGGATTGGTTTTACCGCTTCTTTCTTCTCCCGTTCAGCGTTGCTGTTGTGATTTCTTTGATGACGAGCTTTAATTTTGATTTCAACAATGACTATTCACCTTGCTCTAGAAGCCTCTAAGGTTTCCTTCTCGTATATTTTCTTTATCGTTCTTCGCTTTTGATTGTTTCTTTCTTTCTTTCTTTCTTTTTGATGGTTGATTCTTTCAAATTTTGTGAAGCTATGGAGAAAAATATGCGTCGAAGCGTCCATAGAAGTTTCGCTTCTTGCCGGAAGCTGGAAATATATCCTTGCTGGCGTTGTTTTTCAGGTTCGATTTCTCTCGTTCTTTGTCCACTTTGATTTCTGATTTGTTATTTTGCTAATTCCTTCGCTTCGAATGTTTTTGAAACTCTTTTAAGAAAGATCTCAGGGCGCTATCCTCTTCAATATCACCAGAAAATGATTTACTATCCTAATGATTTCGATAAATTGAATACAATTTTTTTAATCTATATTAGCTAAGATCGTTCGAGAATTTGGTGGTGCTAATTTGCTTGTTTATATAGTTTGTCTACGTTGTGGTTTCAGAATTGGGGTTTGTAATAGCTATTCCATTGTGATTTTCAAATTCAAGTTCTGAACTAATCGTTTGGAGCTTCAATGGAAGTGTAATGATATTAGCCATTACCTAATTATGGATGACAAAGAATTGTTTCTGTTTCTTTCAACATTTACAAATGGTTATTTTGAATAATCCACACAGAGGACGTTTCGATGGCAAATTTGTTGGACCTGAATAAAGGATCGCACTGAAACTTCAGCAAAGCAATAAGTTGTAGTTTGTATGAATTATAATCTTTGTTCCGAAAAGCATGACCTAATATATACGGTCCTTGTTTCTTGTATGCATTTCTTAATTGATGGATTCTGGTTTGCAGTATATCCATGGTGTGGCTGCTCAAGGAATTCATTATTTGCACCGGCCCGGGCCAACACTCCAGGATACTGGATACTTTCTTCTTCAAGTGAGTGCTATTTTAGGATCAAACCCTTAAAATTCTAATTTAAAACTTGGAAAAGTTTTCTTTCTTTGATTCTTTCATAGGAGCTCGGTGAAGACAAAGCTTATGTTAGCGAGACTGTTTTCTCCCTCATATTTTTTTCTTTTGTGCTGGTAAGTAATATAGCTTGTTCTTACTAACGATTATGTTACTGTTATGTTAATGATTTGACGTTGTAGAGAGGCTTATTTGTCTACATATACTGTTATATTACAGTGGACATTTCACCCATTTGTTTATCAGAGCAAAAGGATCTATACAGTTCTGATATGGTGCAGAGTTCTTGCCTATTTAGTTGTACGTATAATATCATCACCATCACCTCTCGTTAATTTTTCTTGATATTCTACCCTTTCATGAATACTTGATGGATGGGTTTTTACATCTTTTAAGGAACACAATTGTTGAGGATGGTTCGGAGGGAGTCCCACATTGGCTAATTAACGGGTTGATCATGGGTTTATAAGTAAGGAATAGATCTCCATTGGTATGAGCCTTTTTGGGGAACCAAAAACACAGCCATGAGAGCTTATGCTTGGAGAATATCATACCACTATGGAGGTTCGTGATTCCTACCATGGTATCAGAGCCATGCTCTTAACTTAGCCATGTCAATGGAATCTTCAAGTATCGAACAAAGAAGTTGCTAGCCTCGAAGGTGTAGTCAAAAGTGACTCAAGTGTCGAAGAAAGGGTGTACTTTGTTCGAGGGCTTCAGAGAAAAGAGTCAAGCCTCGATTAAGGGGAGACTGTTCGAGGGCTACATAGGCCTCAGAGAAGTCTCTATGGTGTACTTTGTTCGAGGGGAGGATTGTTGAAGATTGTTGGGAGGGAGTCTCACATTGATTAATTAAGGGGTGATTGTTAAAGATTGTTGGGAGGGAGTCTCACACTGGCTAATTAAGGGGTTGATTATGTGAAGAAGTTGTGTCCATCCTGGACATCTGCAACGTCTGGTTTATAAGTAATGAATAGATCAAATAGATCTCCATTGGTATGAGACTTTTTGGGGAAACCAAAAGTACAACCATGAGAGCTTATGCTCAAAGTGGACAATATCATACCATTGTGGAAGTTCATGATTCCTAACAACAATCTATGAGTTCTTACCTCTTTTAAAGTATGAAATATTTACAGAAGAACAAGATGGTGGTTGGAGTCAATTCTCTCCCTCGTCGATTCTGGCTCCGCTCATTATGTCTAAGAGGCTGCAATAAAGGGTTTTATGGTCAATTATGATATAAAGTGGACTGGTTAGGAACTTTAGATGTATTAAGGGATATTGTAGTTAACATTTTAGTCAGTGAATTTTCTTAATACGTTAGTCTTTTTGCTTGTTCTTTCATGAAACAGTTGTCTTTTGATTTTGTTTTAATTTCTTGTCTAGATCGAAATTAAGTCTTCATTTTTGTTATGAATGTTGAACCATGGAACGACATTATCCATCTTGTTTTCTGCTTATACCTGATAAGTAACAGGGTTTATGTTTGCCCATGACCTTTTGTAAGGCTTGTCAGTTCCTGAGGATAATCACATTCTACTCAACTCACCTTCCTGGTCCCAACTATCATTGTCGTGAGGTAGATGAAGTGATATACAATATCAGTTCATACTTTTCATACTTTGATGCTTCTGCCGTAATCTTTGATAGTTATATACTTCAAATATCCTGAAATGAAACAACCCCGCCTGTTTCAGGGTTCAAAACTTGCAAAGATGCCTCCACCAGAGAGATTAGTTGAAGTGCTGCTAATGAACTGTCTGTCGCATATGACTTACGCCTGCCATTTTGCTTCTGCTATATGCCTCCTCCAGATGGTCCTTAAAATCATGCTCATCTTTTTAAAATTAATGTGCAGTTTCAAAAGGGGTCAATTACGGCTGTGGAGACTTGATATTTTCATCCCACATGATATTTTCTTTAGTATTTACACGCACATATCATAGATATGGAATGGCAAGGTATTAACTACCATCACAATTCTGTATTTGAACCTTAAAATATATACCTGGTTGAACATAATCTTACTCATCCTTGCAGATTTATCAAAATATCTGCTTGGCTTCTTTGTGTAATTCAGAGCATCCTCATCTTAGCGTCTCGCAAGCATTATACAGTAGATATCGTTGTTGCTTGGTAACTCAAATAACCTAGAACTTGCAGGATGCGATCTAAGTCTACCCATCAATATTATATTATCGCTTTTGCCTTGCCTGCAGGTATACTGTAAATTTGGTTACATTTTTTATTGACAGAAAGCTGGCAGGTTTGCACTGTAAAACCTCTCTTATTACTTCTTACTTAATTCTCTGCTTGATCCTGATCATTCGGTTGAGGATTATGGGGAGTGAGTCACAAGTTGTTGTTAATTTAGTAGAAGATTATGAGTTTATAAATGAGAAATACTATCTCCATTGGTATTCTATCGAGGATTATTGGGAGTGAGTCACAAGTTGTTGTTAATTTAGTAGAAAATCATAAGTTTATAAGTGAGAAATACTATCTCTATTGGTATGAGGCATTTTGGGGAGCCTAAAATAAAGTCACGAGAGCTTATGCTCAAAGTGGACAATATGGAGATCTGTGATTTCTAACACATTCCTCCGTTACAAAATTATTAAATCTACTTGCAATGTGGGCAACATTTTAACATTTTCAATTTACAGAGCTGCGAGAGAGGCCTTCTGGCATAATGTCGCCATCGCTTCTTCCACTGAGTTCCAAGGAAGAGTTTCAGAGGCTTGTGAATGGAACTTATGTGGGAATAACCCATTGAAGATATAGAGCTTAGAAGCAAAAGTTGTGAGTATCTCTGGTAATGACTTTTCATTTAGCTCTCTTCTTTACGTTTAGACATTAGAGGGTGGGTGGGAGGGAATGCCAGGGAAGAACTTCAGATAGGGATGAATGTCTCAATGACTTAGACAAACAAAGGCATCAACTGAAGATAGCTAGCTGCCATGCCTTTGGAAATAGAATCTTGAACTCATGGCCATCATCTGTACAACTATAGGCTCTGTGTTGTTCTTTGCTAGGATTTAAGTGCAGTCTCTTGTTTCAGAATGGAAATTCATTGATATTGGGAACAGATATCTTTTGGGATTTTGCTTTTACATGGGTCAAAAGCAATTATGAGAGGATTTTAACCATTTTTCTTGCTGTAAAGCTCTGATTAATTCATTGATTTATCTAAAATCAGTCCTTCAGTCTCCTTTGAAAAACAGCTTTAATTAAAATTTCTCATATTCTGCGACTAAAATTTTCGGACTAGAATTTTCGACATTGTTTGATTGCTTGAATATGGTAGAGAGCATCAATGTTAATCTAAACACCAAAATATTTAGGTGGGAAAGTACAATTAAACTTCACTTAACCATCCTTTTCAGAATCTAAAGCTAAAGAATTGGCAAGAAAGATATTTAAGTGGCAAATTATAGCCACTATGATCTTGAGCAACGAAAATATAAGGGTATAATAGTGAATGGTGAAATGAAAACTATAAAATTGCCTAGAATCCGCCATTTTCACTGCTTTATTGAACAGAAAAACAGGTTATTTCGTGAGATGGAGAACTAATTAGACCTAAAATGCATAGATCGAAGTTCTTCCAAACTCACCAAACAATCACTCAGATCAGGAAGCAAGTCACATGGGAGGTCTACCAGAGCCAAGTAGCTGGCCGATTAAATTGGTTACCTGAAAGCATAGCAAACTGCCAATTAATACCATAACTAAATACAGAAACATCGCCCCTAATGGAGTCCAGACATTCTTTATCATAAATAGGCTTATCGAAGAAGCAGTTATTGTTAAAGCTATGCAGGAACGAATTTACGAGTATGTCGAAGGAAGCATTCTAAGTCATAGGAGTAACGGTGGAAAATAAATAATCCCATAGACTATGAACCTTAACCATTTTTTTAGGTCGTGTTTTCATTGAGATAAAATGAAAGAATACATGAGAATACCGGGAAAAAACACTACAAGACCGGCTCGATTAACATAAGGAGTTCCAATCAACAAAAATTAGGCCTATAGGGTAATTAAAGAAAGCTTTACACAGTTTCTAAGGAGTAACTATGGCCCTGTAATCACCAAATGTCAATTCAAGATGCAAGCCAATTGATCTATACAGGAGTTTCATCACAGAGTTAAAAATATAATGAACATAGCTGAAGGAAATTTCTGTAGTTTGGAATGTAGGGGAGAGTGCTTTAACTCTCTGTACAAAATCCAGGCTCATAATAAGATGAATTAGATTACTAATGGCTTTTGTTTTATCAGGGAACGCCTGATGTCATTTATTCGATATACATTCACGCCTCGAAGTCAACAAGAACCAAACTAACCTAATAGGGGCTCCAGTCATGCAAAATATGGCCAAAAGGGTAAATTTTTTAAAAAAAAATTACACATAGAAATCCGAAGAGAGACATGATATCTAACATGGGATCACACCTCACCGAAAGATCTCCCAATCACTCTAATAGTCCAAGTGTTTCTTCCACCAAAAGACTATGAACTAATTTAAATTTCCTTCCGAAATCAAATATTTTATTGAAAGGTGATCTTTTGAGATATATGAATAACGACAACAAGATTTAAAACGAGCTTTATGAATTTAAGCTTTCGTACTTCCAAATTTTCGAGCACAACAGAACATAAGTTCAATTTTTATCAGATGGAATACAAGTGCTCCTGTACTATTTGATCAACACATATCTCATAACCTAACAGACATACAGAGCATTGAAGGCAATGATCAACTTACATGCCAATACTTGGAAACACAGCGATCAATGCAGCTATTTTCACCCATATTCAGCTCAGATTCCTTGTACCTAAAATAGATAGCAATTGTTAAATGAAAAGAATGAACTAAAATTAACTATATAATGCCAAAACTGCAACTTAAGAAATTGAATTCTATGATTAGAAAATATGCAATATTCAAAGATAGAAGTATAGTACAACTCTCCTACCTCTTATCGACACATTTGTTAAAACACGAGTGTGTAAGCCTGAAAGACGAAGAAAAGAAAGGCATAGAGGTCAAATTCTGTGAAGAAGTTAGACATATAAAGCTCAGATATTTCAATTAAACAACATATATAGAACCTGGCGCCATAATGAAGTTATTAGAATATAAAAAGGTGAAATAAAAGAAGTGTAATAAAACCTACTTGTTGAACAGTTCAACTCGATATTCCATCTCCTTTTCTGCCATACCAAATATCTGCTCAAGTGCAAAGAAAATCAAAATTAAATTGTGATGATAATCATGAATTTAGGAACTATATTTGGATATATTTACATGGTAAAGATTCATCAAAAGCTAATTGAACACATTCATCACTCTAAATGGGCAGAGTTCAGAACAGGATGGATTAAAACAGAAAATAAAAGATCAATGCTTGAAAACCAGCTGCCTAATGAGAGACTTTAACTCAATTAATGAATTTTTTTTCGAACTCCTTACTGCCATAACAACTATTTGTCCAATTAACCCAGCAGAATAAGAACACAGATTCCACTCTTGATCTAGGATACGCTCAATATGCTCAATCCAAACAATAGAATTCCTATCCACGGCTATGAATTTGCAAAAACGAAAAGAAAATGAATAAAAGAAACAGAAACCAACCTGTTCCTTGTCCACAGCCGTTGGACCAGTCGGAGAAGCCATTGAGACTCTGAATCAAACAAAATCACAGTCCAAAAATTCGTTACCCACCAAAAAAGGGACAATTTATCTATAACAAACCGAAAAATGATTCAAACAAACATACTTCGAATGAGTTACTAATGCAAAATTTGAAGATTGTAGCTCTGTCTTGAAACGGGTTCGACGAATCCAATCAGTAACTAATGGAGGAGGCAAAACCCCGCTGCAAGATCCATGGGACGATGCAATTACAAGATTTTTCCCAAAACTCAGAGATACTTTATGGTTTTAGGTTTAAAGATATACTTCAGTGTAGTGTTAACGAGCAGTTCGGTTTTCAATATAACCTAAACCGATCAGGTTCTAACCAATTTTACTGGTTCTCTTCGGATTTTGATTGTGAAAAAATTTCAGCCGGTATATGCTATGGCTGAAGTAAAAATGAAAGTGAGAATCACGTACCGTAATTTGCAGACCGGAGCTGTAGTCGATACGGCGGGGAAGATGGCGGACGGCGGAGAGGTGAGGAGGCCCAGGTGGAGGAACAAGGTTTATGAGAGTTAGGGTTTATGGTTAAGAGCTGGGGTTTGGGCTGGGCTAGGAGAATGTATTTGGGATTTTTTTTTTAATCCATATTTTTTAATATTTATTAAACAAACATTTAAATTGTTAATTAAATTCCAAAAATAATAACAATTTTTTCAAAATTAAAATGTTGTCGGTATTTTTAAACTTAGATATTTAATTTTAAGGAAGTATTAAATATATTTTATTTAAATTCAAATTTTAAAAACTTTTAAAAGTTTATAAATATTTTTTTTTATAGAAAATCTTTTATTAATTTAACTAATAAAATAAAAAATAAATAAAAGAGAGGGAAACCCCTAACTAGCTCCTTTTGTTTATATCATACACGCGACTTCTTTTTGTTTACGTCGTCTCCTCCTCCGTTTCAGCAGAGCGCCGCTGCCGCCTTAATCTTCCGTTCGTGCCGCCGCCGTCTTATTCTTCCGTTCGTGCCGCCGTTTTATTCTTCCGTTCGTGCCGCCGCAGTCTCATTCGATTCCCTACCTCTTTTTGTTACTGGTATCCTCCCAATCTCCATCTATGTACTTTTTCTCGTTTGATAAATACAAATTAGGATCTTCTAATGAAAGAATGGGAAACAGTTTGGTTTTTTTTTTTTTTTTTTTTTTTTTTTTTTTTTT